CTGTCTCCCATCTGTATAGCACAGATACCCCTGAACGTACATGTCTTACAACGTAAGATCCCAAGGAATTCTCAGCTTCTAACAGCATTCATAATATATTCCAAAGAGATGTTTATTCAATGAATGAATGAATGAATGAAAGAGCAAATAAATGTTTCAATGTTTTATATGTTTCTCTTTCTAATAATAGTCTTTTATTAAAATTTTAATATCTGTCATAAGCATGGAAAATAGTCTTCACTTTTTATTCATTTGGTTTTATTTCAAAATATTTTATTTTTAATTCATTTACTTTATTTTATTCAACAAGCACAATAGAATTTTAAATGTTTTCGAGGTCTACGACTAGTTTATATGGAACATCTTGAAGAGCAAAAAGCAAGTATAAAAATCAACCACAATGTCTTTTTAGTCCACTAACAAAATAGTCTCCTGTCATCACACACACACACACACACACACACACACACACACACACACACACACACACTTTCTTGCTCTCCACTGTTTCTCAATAGTTGTGATACTTTCAAAATCAGGTTTTGAAACAAAACTTATTGTGTGTGTGTGTGTGTGTGTTGTGTATGGGTAGCAGTGCTTTATCTGGTTGATCATATTACTGATATGCCCTCATGTCATTCTTCCAGCTTTTTGCTAAAATTCTTGAGCAGAATTAAAAAAAAAATGGGTATAAATAAAGAGGTCTAAATTTCCTACTGAACATAATTTTTAAAAAATGAAGCTAATGTTTTAAAAATGTTGCTTTGCTCGTATAACAACAAAAAAACTATTTATAGTTAAATCAGATTCCCAAATACAATAGAGAAGCTGAATAGTAAATTATAGAGGCTCTAGAAAATAAGCATATGCCATTAGTGAGATGTAACTGAGAAGATATACTTTTGTTTTATAATTTAATTTCTATCAACCCATAGATCTAGCACCCATCTGACACCACACATGTTATTACAATATTATTGATTATATTCCTTATGCTATACCCTACATCCCCATAACTAGTTTGTAACAACCAATTTGTACTTCTTAATCCCTTTCCCTTTTTACTCACCCACTACCCCGCTCCCATCTGATGACCATCAAAATGCTCTCTGCATCTATGAGTTTGTTTCTGTTTCATTTATTTTGTTCTTTAGATTCCACTTATAAGTGAAATCATATGACATTTGTCTTTCACTGTCTGACTTATTACACTCAGCACAGTACCCTCTAGTACCCTCTCGGTCCATCCATGTTGTCTCAGGTGACAAGATTTCCTTCTTTTCTACAGCTGAGTAATATTCATTGTATATATGTACCACCTCTCCTTTATCCATTCATTCATTCAGGGACACCCAGGTTGCCTTCTTCTTGGCTATTGTAAATAATGCTGCAATGAACATATGCATGAGCACATCCCCTCTAAATTGCATTTTGGGTTTGTTTATATAAATACCCAAAAGTGAGATTACTAGGTCTTTTCTTGCCTCTTGTTATAGTCTTTGTTTTAAAGTCTGTTATGTCTAGTATAAGCATTGCTACCCAGTTTTTTGTTTTGTTTGATGGGAGGGACCTGGGGGCAATGTGAAAAAGGTTAAGGGATTAAGAAATACAAATTGGTAGTTACAAAATAGTCATGGGGATGTAAAATATAGCAAATCTAATCAATAATATGATAATAACTATGTATAGTGTCAGGTGGTACTAGTCAGAAGATCACATCCAAAATTATATAAATGTCTAAACACTAAGATATACATTTGAAACTAATATAAAATAATATTGAGTGTCAACTCTAATTGAAAATTTAAAAAAGGGGGGAAAGATCAACAATATTGTGATAGTGTTGTACAGTGTCAGATGGTTGTTGGACTTATCATGTTGATCACTTATTGAGTGTAGGGACTATAATAAATAATGTGGTAATAACCCTGTGTAATGCTAGGTGAGTACTGTTGAATAACTATGATGTACACTTGAAACTAATATTGTAGGTTAGCTATATTTTAATAAAAATCTCAAAAGTACAATTTCTAAGGATTTTTTATATCACCTTGTTTTTTTTGTGATGAGACTTGCAAACAAGATTATTTCCATTATTTCATTATTTATATTTTGAATCTGCAAATCTGAGGTGATTTTGATATTAAGTGTTATTATTGGTTACAATTCAGATACACCATAGTGAAAAAGCCTCATGACTATTGATAATATGTTATTTTTTATTAATGATTCTACTTTTATTATAAGCATGTATGCTTGATATTTCACAAAGCAACAAAACTTGAGGGAAATGATACTTTTTCTGTTGTTTTCATTGCTTCTCATTTGTTTTCATAGCTGTGTGACAGGGTGCTTCTATCATCAATGAGTGACTTGAATAATTTATTGTAAAATGAATAAATCATGTATTGGTACAGAGTAATGTAAATGTTATCTAATTGCAGATTGCTTTAAGGTTTTTGGGTTTTGTTTTAACATATTGTTGGGGGGGGTGAACTTGACTATCATTCTTTCCATTTATTATCACCAAGACTGACAGATCATATCATAATCCATAGTATTATCATGCCAAAATGACTTTTACAAGGTAATATTACACTTTATTTTACATTGAACATTAGAAGAATGATTATGTGTTTTAACATTGCTGTTAAAGATAGATTCCAAAGAAAAATATCTTCTTCCTCTCTTGATCTCTGGTAATCCATTGTCTGTGACTTCTCAAGAGTCTCTAATGTCTTTAATTCAAGGAGCTTGTTTGATACAATGATCTCTGGCTGAGTGAAAAAGGTAGCTTGCTTCTGAGGTAGTCTGAAATAAAAACTCAGAGAGGAAAGAAAGCTACTTACAGTTGTTTGCTAAGATTGGAAATTTCCCAGACTGTGGGTTTCTTATTCTAGCATTAAAATCTAGAATCTAAATTCATAGTCTTAGTCATAGATTGGATTTATTTCTAAATTTGGAGCGTGGGAGAAATACTGTGCAAAATGTATTTTCTGTTTTGCATCATTTACTGCATGTTTAGTGTGAGAAGATAAAGTATTTTCCTTTAGATATGTGTGTGTACATTTGTGCTTTCGTCTTCTATTACTCATTATCTTTCACAGTTTTAGAAGAAAACTAACTAAAAGAAAAAAATTGGATCTGCTACATTAACTTACATTGATTCAGTGGTAGCTACAGCCGAGGCTGTTAAAGTGAATACGTAATTATCCCATTGTGAGTCTTTCCAAAGCAAATGCCTGCACACATAGAATAGGCTGATTGACCCAGGAGGCTGATGTGCTGGTGTTCCAAGTTCTTAGAAATGCTGACTTCTCTGATTCTTTGCTCAGTAGAGAAGATTGTGTAGTGTTTGACTTTAAAAAGGATTATCAGTTGGTTTTCTATTTTGTATTCTCTAACTCCTTTTGTATTAAGGGAGTTTCAGCATTATAAAGAAGAACTAGTGGTTGACCACAGAGGCACAGCACAAGGTTGAATAATAATAGCTAGGGAATATTGAGAACCTACTGTGTATGCGATGTGATACACTGTTTAAGGAAGCTATCAATAGAAAAATATTGTGAGGTTAACAATCAATACCCACATGTAACAAATGAAGTGATAGAGACCAAAGCACTTGAGCAACTTGACCTTATGTTATACAACCAGCACACTCAAGCTATGTCTTTTTTTTGTTGTTTTTATTAGTTTCAGGTATACAAAACAATGTACTAGTTAGACATTTCATCCCTCACAAAGTGATGACCCCTCTCCCCCAATCTATTATCCCTCTGACATTGTATATAGCTGTTACAATTACGTTGACTCTGTTCCCTATGCTGTACTCCATATCCAGTGACTATATACATATATGTATATATATATATATATATATATATGTATAAAATTATAGTTGACATACAATATTATCCAGCTTCAGCTTCAGGTCTGCAGTCAAGCATCTATACCATCCATGAAGTGGTCTCCTTAATAAGACATGTATCCATTCCAACCTTCTTGCACCCATAAGTTGTAAATATTAGCAAGTAGTCAAATAATTAAAACATTACAAGTAAAGCACCATGCACTATCTTTTAGTTCAGTTTAGCCTTTTTGAAGCACCATCTTTTTGTCAGTCATTTCGATCCCAGGTACACAAGAAGAAATGTACATGCTTTGCCTAGAGGTGGCTTACCTTGTTGTACAGTAAAACACAAGTAAACAAATAATTATAACTTATTCATGCCAGAGTAGCAGTAAGTTGAATGATAAGAAAGAGAAGGATATAAATACATTTGTCAAGAGTCAGGAAATTATGCAGTAAGTTATCTCTAAGTAAGATTGCTAGAGATGAAAAGAATCTGCCAGTTAGAAGAAGGGCTGCAAGGGATTCCAGACCCTGATAAGCCAAAGCACAGAGAATGAAATTACCTGATGCAGGAAGAGAACAATTTAGTAATTTGATTTCTCTGTAACCCAACTGATGGGGGTATGGAGTATATTTTACTGAAATGGCAGACAGGGTCCTGGTAATGGGATATATACACAGTATTAAGGAGATCGGGTTCCAATATGCAGGTTAGGAGAATTATTGAAACATGTCATCATTGTACCAATCATGAAGATTTTCATTTCAGAAATCTAACTCTAGCAGTGATTAGCTGACGGGAAGAGGTGGTGCTAATGGCAGTAAGGTCATTGGGGAGACTACAGAAGGTCAAGTCATTTCTGACTTCTTTAAGAATCAACTTCATTTATTTGTTGTCCTCTCTACAGTATTTAACAACCTTTATTTTCAAGACAGTCCTCCTTTTTGTTCCCATGATCTTAACTAAGGGTCTTTTCAGACACTGATAGATGAGGGAGGATTGGGAGATGAGTAAAAGAAGCTAGCAAGTAAAGGTATGTTTAAGCAGCTTAAATAAAGCAGAAAGGTTCAGGGAGGTGAAAGCTGGGAAAGAGGATTGACATAGTTATATTCTGAGAAGAGCTCAGCAGGAAAGAAGATGGAGGAGCGGCGGGATGGAATGCACCTCAAGTAAACTAGGGAACAATAATAGAAACCACAACAAAGACTAAAAATTATTTTTTTAATGTTTAAATTTTAAAAGGTATAGTCTCTCTTCTATAGTAACTTGAATTAAATCAGTCATTTCATTTTTCCAGATCCAGGAGTTGTATATGCAACTCCTCTGAACACTGCCCAGAGCCCTAGAATAACAGGTATGTGTCTAGATTTTTGTGAATAATGAAAACAAAGCCTCTAATCAGTGTTATTAAAAAGAGAACGGGCTAGTTCCGTACTCAATGTTTGTGAAAAACACTTTGTAATCTCTGGCATATAACTAGTATGACAGAAAATTAATTAGCACACATGTCACATTGTACCTGTAGAATTTATGAAGTTAATAGGGCATATTTTAAACTTGCTGTTTAGCTCAAATACATTGCTTTACATTGTTTCTTTTATTTTATTTATTGTTTACTGATGAAACCTAGAAGAGATAACCTAGCTAAATTTGGTGTGCTTATAAATGTACCAAAGATTTGGAGAAGGTCTTTCTTACAAATATTATCTTTACAAGATATTAGAATAAATAAGTTGGGAAAAATTTCTCAGCTTTCCTTTCTAATGGAATTTCTAAAATTCGTGTTTTATTAATTTTTGTTGATGCTGTCTATTGTTTGTTTCATGTACTGAGTTCTTCCAGTGTGTCAGGCAGAAGTTAGGTGAATTTGCGTGCATCTTTTACTTAATTCTCACATCAACATTGTGTGAGGTGTTATGCAATTATGTCAAGTTATTGCTTAGGGGTCATGTAGTTTATAAGTGGTATATCTTGGACGACTACACTGTTCTGATAATTCTTATATGAGTGACTTCTCTTTTTCAATATAGTGAGATTAGACTTAATATACTCATCATTTCTGAATAAACATATTTTTACGAATGCCTACTATGTGCCAAGCAGCATGCTAAGTTCTGGTATTTAGAGGTGAGACATCCACATGTGGTCACTATGTGAAAGAGCAATAATTATACAACACCAATACTGGCTTATAAATGACATAAACCAAATGCAAAGTCCACAGTTGATGTAGCACTTGTCATCACAGACATAGATAGGTCTACAAGGGTGGAGAGGAAAGGTGCAGTAAACATTTTCATCTTTAGGAATGAGAGTACATTACACTAGAATAGAAAAATCCCTGAGTTACTTATGAGAAATGTGTCTACTTATAGTCATAACTTTTCCGCAGGGCACTTTTAGCAATATGTAGCACTCTGGAGCTATTTTGTTGATAAAATTGCGGGCAGGGCTCAAATATACGTACTCATTACTGAGCTCTCTGGAAACAGTAAATTCTAGAAAGCCAGCTGCTGGTTTAGTTTCTGGCTACATGCTTACAAGTGTTATAGACAATAGCCTATGAAAAAAAAGGGGGGGGGAGCAAAAACCACAGGAGACCCATACGCCCACTGGAAGTCATATTATAAGGCCATAATTTTTATATGGGAGGAGGAATTTCATAGAAGAGCTAATTTACCTTCAAAAGTCAAAAGTAATTAAGAATCACTGTGATTAAGGTGTTCCTAAATTAAAACCTAAATGATGCTACCACCTCTAAGTTTAAATAAAATTATTTCCTGGAGGGAAAGATGGAGTGAGAGATGGGAAGCCTTACTTCATACAGAATGCTGTGTTTAAATGATGATCCCAATTAAAACTCTGTATTGGAGAAGCTATAAAATAAGCTACAAATACACTACACGGGTGTATAAAAATTTGTTGGTGTCATGAAATCTTGGAGAGTTTAGTTGAGGATATAAATGTGATTACTTTTAGGTTCTATTTTATATGAGTGATTATTGGTTATAAGTGATTCTGAGATGAATCAGAAATGATGTTCAACCTCAAGAAATATATATTGTATTTTATAGCATATTATTTAAGATAATATATTTTAATTGTGTTTAAAATATCTAGAATAGTGATTGTCTAATTTAGAGATGAGATATAATTTTACACAATTTTTGTTTTTTCAAAATCTGACCTAATGAAACCAAAGCTATAAACTAAATATCATTCCTTTCAGATATATATTGGACATATTAATTATTTATGTCAGAACACATATAGTGATACTCAGAATGCTTAGAAATTTACTCAATTTAATTTCTACAACATATTTCAAAGCTGTTTTTTGAAATCAAGTAGCAAAAATTATAACTCTGGGCTACAAAAGTGTTTCAGTGAACAGCTAAATCTAACAGTGTCATCATATCACCCTTCATTAGGCCAGAAGCAGACTCAGAATTTTTTACTTGAGATTGGTAGAGTTTTCATTTGACTTCTCCTCTTATCTGCAAAAGCTCATATTAAGAACTACTCTTTTTTTCTTTTTTGGACTGATATTTTATTGCTTAAAAAGTAGCTTCTAACATATGTACATATATATATATATATATATATATATATATATATATATATATATATATATATATATTTAATGGACTGAACTGTAGAAGCTAGTGTATGCTTTCAAAATATAATTACTAATAAAAAAAGTTACCTAGCAATTGTGTTTACTTGAGGCCTCACAATATCTATAGTCTACTCTGAAAGCACATTTTGACAGAGATTCATTTACTCAGAGCTATATATTAGAATTTTTTTTTTAATTAGAAATATTTAGGTGAAAATGTTGTGTTTATTTTATAAGCACCTTGCATGTTTTTGCCATTTCTTTGCTGACAATAATTCTTTTTCTATAGTATTCAAACATGAAGAGACATATGATACAGGTAAATCCATGCAAATATTTTTCATTTATTTGTCCTTTACAGGGCTTGGTTTCACAGTTAGAAATTCCTTACCAAGGAACCTAAAAGTGCATCAATGAGATGCTCTTATTTCTAAAGAATAAATATCTATTTTGCAGTATTTCTACATAGCCATGCTTCTGTATATTGAGACTTTGATGTCAGAGTCAGAGTTCAGGACGCATGTGTGAATCCTGCTTCTTATTAGCAATAGACTTTGGGCTGTGCTTTAAATATTTAAATATTCCTTGGGGACAACAGACCTACCATCTAAACTTAAGAGTTTGAGGGCCGGCCAAGTGGCTCAGTTGGTTAAGAGATCGCTCAAGAGTTTGAGCTCTGAGCAACAGCAGTTCGATTTCTGGCCCGAGCTGAGCTGCCGCTGAGCTGCCAACAGGTGGCAGGATGGCTCAGTTTAAAAAAATAATAATAAATAAATATAAATAAATAAATAAAATAAACTTAAGAGTTTGAGAGAAAACTAAGTGTAACAATATGCAAAACTTGCATATGGTAATTCTTTCTTCAGACCAAAAAGGAGTGATGGTAGAGTGAGCGTGGTTCCCAAATAGTTCATCTATTCATCTGCATTTGCCAACGTTTTGCAGATAAAGATGGTTAGCTCTAATCAATCAGCTTTGCATAGAAGTGATATGTGTCATTCAAACCCCAGATTTAATAAGCATAAAACAACCTGTTCTGTTGAATACTCTTGCTGCTCATGTAATATCATTACTTATAATGTTAAACATACTTGGAACTGTCTTCTTTTCACATCTCTAGGAGGAAAAAATAAATAAAAATGGATTATTTAAATGATTTAAATCCCGTTGAGACAGGGGCCCTACAGCAATACTATAAATTTTGTTTTCACTTCAAGGTTAGTTGCGATGTTGGCCATGATTTAAAAGCCAAGATTCTATGGCAAATGACAATGATATTGAGCGCTGACAAATTGAATTGGTCTCAAGGTATTGGAGGATGACTAATAAATCTGCAACCTGACCCAGAATATATTCTATACAAGATATTCTTCCTTCTTGAAACACATGTGACACCTTTAAGTGTTAATACCACTAGCTGTTTGGTTTATTTAAATTGTGTGTTTAGGAGTGATTTCACTCTTGTTGCGATCAACACTCACCTGTCTATGACAATTGCTTTGGATAAAGATACAAAAGAGTATTATCTTGTTTTGTTTTCCATGCAGTGTAGAAGTTTGTTTTTGATTTCATCTCCTTCCAATAATTGGCAAGATACTTTTTACCACTGTGTGGTATAGTTTGTCATGTCATGAAAGGGAATACTATGTTTTCATAAGACTCTCTTAGGAATATGACTTAAAATTTGCCATTTTACTACCATACATCAAAATACATGAAGACTTTTACTGATACAAGAAAGACTTTTACTGATACAAATACAAATCTTTTACTGATACAACATGTGTAAGACATAATATGCTCTTTTAGAAGTTTAATGAAGAGGTGCAAAAGTGGAATTATGGTTTGACTGTAAACCTCTTAACTCTATATTTGACAGGGCCTCTTAGATGTCAAGTTTTTTAAAGTAGTATTACTATCTGTCAGGATATTTGCATGGAATATTTCTTCTTAGAAACACTCTGTATCTAACAATTTTTATCACTTTTACTTATTAATTTCTTGCTGTATTTGTAAATATTGGAGATATAAATGGCATATTCCCCATGTCTGCAAAAGGCTTTGAGATCCAGCTCGGAGGCCTCTCTCTCACAAAAGCTCCCTTATTGCTTCATCCCACAGGAATTTCTCCTTTAGAGATTCCAGTTGTTAATTGCACAATTAAAATTTTATTATGTCGAGTCCTAATTTTATTTTGCACTATGTAAATTATTTTAAAAATAGATAGTAAGCTCCACATATTATGTCTAATGTTCTTTTAATTTCGTAACCTGCCTTCTTGGGGAAGTTTTACTTGACCACACTCAACTAAGTTATTTGTTTACTTCCTCAGAACCATGGAGCTCTTGATTTAGTACCATGCTTTATACGGTCCATGTAATTAATATTGTAGATTTATTTTTCAGATGTAGATACTTTATTTATACATTTCTTTTTAAAATCAAATGAGGGTAGGCACTAAAACTTACATATTGAACAGAAAGAACACGTGGCTCAATGGCTATTGAGATGACTCTTAAAAGGGTTGTTTTTGCATGCATGTTCTTTGATAAAAATTGTATTGTGATAAAAAATTATGTGTGATATTGTTTCAAAACATTTTATCCTCTAAAATATTTTAAAATTATGCTGCCGAATTCATAAAATAAATTAGCTTCTGAAATTATAAAATCTATGCCATGCATAATTATCATAAAATAAGAAAGAATAATCCTCAACTGATTTAAAGATTATAA